GAGTTAATTTTAAATTTTAAACCTCACAAAATAAGGATTAAAAGAAAAGCTTTTTGCAAAAATTTATTATAAAAAAAAAGGTTCAACATACTAAAGCTACAATATGATGAAAGCTGATTGTTTAGAATATGAATATATATATATGAAAGGAAAAGGATAAAAATAATATTATTAAATGTGAGTGATGAAATGATATTTACATCATTCTATTCATACGTTCACTTACTATCATATACTGTGTAACAAGCTTCCGGTATACTCCACTTATTAAATTATTCAATAGATGCTTAAATAATTATTGATTGTATGTTGTCGTAGATGAATAGAGATCTGGTTTGTTGATTTTACAATCAGGTTTAGCGCAGTCATCTGCCCGGACCGTAGCCGTAAGTGCCAGCCGGGAGTATAAATCCACTACGTGGATCATCCAAGAAGAAGAATCCACGCAAACCGGTCGAGTTCAATTGGAATAACACGCTATGGACTACCATCTCTAGGAGACATTTCCCCAACAGCTTGTCAACCTATAACGATTGAATGTACACTGGTACGATAATATATGCTTACTTTTCTAATAGGAATTGGGAAATTATGGTTGCTGATGACATATTCAACGATAGTTCCCTTCATTGCTTTACCTTCTTCTGTATTTTCGAGAGCCTTTATAATTAATGGTTCAAGAGACAGAGTTGGAGCTGGGCTATCATAACCATGCAAGAGTCTGTCATATCTTGTAACATCAAGTCTTTGAAACGAATTTCCATCGATTTCAGGAAGGACAAAAAGCAAATCACTCAGTTCTGTCTCATCCATTGACAATCTGAAGCATCAAACATATTTTTTCAAGCGGTTGATTCTTACAGTGCTTTGAATGGTGAGTCATCGATAGTAGTTAGTTTACGTTTTTTGTGAGCTATATCGTTTTCTCCATCTGCCTTTGTATCCTCTACTCCACACGGACTCATGGAATGATTTTGCATAGGTACCAGTCCATATCCAGGTTCATCAGGCTCACGAAGGCTCTTAATGTTTCTTTCTTGATATAATTCGGCAGAAAGTCACCAAAAATGCTTGCAAATTTCTTTCATCCTCTTCGGTCCAAACATCATCATCGTTCTCGTTTTCTTTTTTTGCCTTTTCTGCTTCCTGTCTCTTTTTTTCGTTCTGTTCTTCTTCCCAATCTTCCTCTATGTAAACCTAAGATATAATTATTGAAACAGCTGTACAAATTATTTTTAGTTAATACTATTCTACGTTTCGGTTTATTGGTTTTCTTCTTTCGAAATTCCTTCTTCTCTTTGAAGAAACTACTCTTTTTCCACTTTGCTTTAGATCTAGAATCCTCATGCAAAGAAATTTTGGGTCTGAAAGGTTTATGTGTCTTTACTAAAGGCACCTCTTTCTGAAAAGAATCAACATAAATTGAACTGCATAGTTCTCACAACCTTCTTCTTGTTCTCCGATATTCTCATTTTTACTTTGTTGGACTTCTCAATGAACTTCTCCTCTTTACGCGGTTTTACAACGTCCGCTTTCACATCAGAAACTCTTCTTGAAGGCACCTCTGTCTGAAAAGCATAAATATCAATTGAACTGTACAGCTCTCATAACCTTCTTGTCGTTT